AAATAATAATAATATAAAATAATAATAATAATATAATATAAAATAATAATAATATAATATAAAATAATAATAATAATAATATAATATAAAATAAAATAATAATAATAATAAAAAAATGGAAGGGACCTTGTAGGTCATCTAGTCCAACCCTCTCCCCAAGCAGGAGACCCTACACCATTTCTGACAGATGGGCAGTCCAATCTCTTCTCAAAAGCCTCCAGTGATGGACCTCCCACAATTTCTGAATAACAGAGTTGGAAGGGACCTTATAGATCATCTAGTCCAACCCGCCATCCAGGGTTGCACTGGCTTTTTTGGCGGTGGCTGCACACCGCTGGCTCATGTTTAACTGGTTGTCCACTAAGACAATGGGGTCAGCCAGATTCACTTAACATTTGCAGTGATTCACTTTACAAACTGTGGCGAGAGAGGTCGTCAAACGGGAAACTCACCTAACCACCGTCTCACCACAACCGTGTGACTTTCTTAATAAATCGCAGGGATCCACTTAACAACGGTGGCAAGAGAGGTCATAAAAGGGGACAAAAAAACCCTCAACCACAGTTTCGCTCGGTGACAGAAATGTTGGCCTCCCTTCTGGTTGTAAGTCGAGGACTACCTGTAGTTTGTTTTTTGTTTTTAAGCAGTTTTGCCTTAAAAATTCCTTTTAAAATATCTTGATTTTTCGGTGATTCATTTGTAAAACATCTCACAAGATACGATGGGGAAGTGAATTAAGCCCCTAAAACTTTTTTTGAACATCCAGATTTTAGATTCCTAGCGAAAAAATAAAACTTGACTGGGTCTTCCTTTAACTCACCTTTCCTACCCTGAAAGCAGTAGTGGAATTGAAGGAAATCTGGAAGATCCGTGTAGCAGTTTGGAAGCGAAAGTACATCCCAACACTTATCTTTAAAAGATTGTAACTTAACTACCAGAGTTTTGTCCGCGAATATATTTAATTGGAGAATGTGATTGGTGACATCCAGCCCGTAATTGGAGAATGTGATTGATGACACCCAGGCCGTGAACGTGCTCAATTGGAAAATCTGGTTTATGACACACCCAGGAGGGAGGGAGGAAACAGGGTCACAAGTGACTGTAAATTACGTATGCCAGAGTTGGCTTGCTGTTAGGATTCCAGCAATCACCTTAATTAAATCATGATCCTCGAGCCAAACTTCAAAAAACTTCAAAGCATTCATTAGAGGAGACATACAGGGCAGTATGTCAACCTCTAATAAATCCTTTGAAGTTTTTTGAAGTTTGGCTCGAGAATCATGATTTCATTAGGGTGATTGCTGGAATCCTGACACCCCGTTCAAGCGAACCGGTAATTAAAAAAAAAAAATACTGCCGGTTCGGTCAACGATCAGCTGTGCCACGCGATTTAGATTAGCTAGAAAGTAGGAAATCGTTGGGATTTCTTGCTTTCTGGCTAATCTAAATCGCGCGGCACAGCTGATTTTTCTGCCTCGCTGTTGTACTTACCTTCAAAATGCTTCTTTTTTTCAGCACCCAGGGAGGCTTCCCTGAGGCCCAGTTGGCAAAAAATGGGGTACAGGGGGGGGGGTTGCTGTGAAAAAAACCCCACAGAGCCATGCCCACCCAGTCACATTACCACCTGGCCACATCCACCTAGTCACACCCATACAACCGGTAGTTAAAAAAAAAAAATTGAATCCCACCACTGCCTGAAAGGGATGGAGGAAATCATATCCGGTCGCCATTTCAGAGATTTTCATTCAGAGAAACTGAATTCTCTCCCGGCAGCTGATGAAAAATGTCAGCGAGTCTTGTCCGGATATCACGAGGATATACAGCATCGGGAAAAGTTACCTGGGCTTGAAAATGTACGTCATGGAGATATCAGACAACCCCGGGCAGCACGAATTAGGTGAGTGACATCTCGGGATGCTCTATCCATTTTGCAGGAAGAGAGTTTAATTGGAACTTGGCTGCGGAAGACGGGGATCGTGGTTTGTTTCCGTTGTCGAGGAGCCTCTCGGCCAATTGGGTCCAAGGGTCTATCTAGTTTAGCCAGTTTCTCGACTGGGACCAATTGAGTGGACTTCAACTCCCAGAATCCCCCAGCCAGCCTTCCAGTCTCTCTTGCCGCTTTCTCCAGTGTTTCTCAATCTGGGCACGTAGACTTCAACTCCCAGAATCCCTCAGCCAGCAAAGAATTCTGGGCGTCGAAGTCCATCCATGTCTCACTTGGCGAGGTTGAGAAACACGGCCCTTGCATGTCCCAAGGGGGCTGGGGAGCCACAAATGGGGGTCCTTAGAAGATCCCTCAAGAAACGCCCAGCTCACAAACACCCCCCCAAGATGTCATCGTCCCGGCGCCATTGCAGGAGAACCAGAGTTCCGCTACGTGGCTGGCATGCACGGCAACGAGGCGCTGGGCCGGGAGCTGGTGCTCAACCTGATGGAGTATCTCTGCCAGGAATACAAGCAGGGCAACCCTCGCGTCCGGAGGCTGGTCACCGAGACCCGGATCCACCTGATGCCCTCCATGAACCCCGACGGTTATGAGACGGCCTACAAGCTGGTGCGTGGCGCAGTGGCACGGTGTGGGTGTGGGCGTTCCGGTCTGTCTGTCTGTCCGTCCGTCCTTGGGGAGCCACCCCATTTGCTTCCTTCCTTCCTCCCTCTCTCCCTGTTTCGTTCCTTCCTTTCTTCTCATCTTCCCTTTTCTTTGCCTTCCTTCCTCCCTCTCTCCCCTCCCTCCTTCCTCCCTTCTTTCTTTCACCTCCCTCCCTTCCTCTTTCTATCTTTCCTTCCTTCCTTTTTCTCTTTTCTCTTTCTTTCTTCATCTCTCTCTTTCTTCCTTCCACCTTCCTTCCATTTCTTTCTTTTTCTTTTCTTTTTTTCTTTCTCTTTCTTTTGCTTCCTTCCTTCCTCCCTCTCTCCCTGTTTCGTTCCTTCCTTTCTTCTCATCTTCCCTTTTCTTTGCCTTCCTTCCTCCCTCTCTCCCCTCCCTCCTTCCTCCCTTCTTTCTTTCACCTCCCTCCCTTCCTCTTTCTATCTTTCCTTCCTTCCTTTTTCTCTTTTCTTTTTCTTTCATCTCTTTCTTCCCTTCCTTCCACCTTCCTTCCATTTCTTTCTTCTTCTCTGTCTTTCTCTCTCCTTCCTTCCTGCCTCCTTCCTTTTTCTCTTTCCTTTTCTCTTTCTTCTCTCTCTCTTTCCTTCCTTCCCTCCACCTTCCTTCCTTCTTTTCTTCCTTCCTTCCTTCCTTGATCCCAATGGGGGTCCCCAAACCCACTGAATCAGTCAGTATTTAAAAGCTTTTGGGGAAAAGCAGCAAAGGGGGAGCCAATCCAGGGAAGGAAATTCCATAGGGAGGGAGCCACCACTGAGAAGGCCCTGTTTCCCAGGTCCCTCCAAATGGACTTCCTTCGTTGCTGAGACCCACCGCATGTCCTGCCTTCCTGCTCTGAGGGCTGTGGAGATATAACTGGGGAGTGGATTACCGATCTCCCCCAGGCCGGTCCACCCGGAGGGCACCGGGTGTAGTCTCCAACCCTTCCTTTCTTTGGTGACTCTGCAGGGCTCAGAGCTGGCTGGCTGGGCGATGGGCCGATGGACGTACGAAGGCTTTGATCTCAACCACAACTTTGCCGACCTCAACACGGAGCTTTGGGACGCTGAGGACGCCGAGCTGGTGCCCCACAAGTTCCCCAACCACTACATCCCCATCCCGGAGGCATACACCTTCCCGAACGCCACGGTGAGTCCAGCATTCCTCAGCCAGTCAACCTTTGGCCTTCAACTCCCAGAATTCCTCAGCCGGCCATTGAGCCAGTCAGCCTTGCGGCCTTCAACTCCCAGAATTCCTCAGCCGGCCATTGAGCCAGTCAGCCTTGTGGCCTTCAACTCCCAGAATTCCTCAGCCAGCCATTGAGCCAGTCAACCTTTGGCCTT